TGTATCAGATTAAATAAGAACCGTGATGTCGTTGGTAATATAGTTAAAAATTGATATGAATAATTTGCATGTGTATGTATGGACAAGAAAATCTATGCAGTTCTTGTGTGCCTCGTCTAAATGATATCTAGATTTGCTTTAAATGTAAGAAATATATCTGTAAGCAGTTTGAATGGGTGGTACATTGGTGAATATTATGCATATACATTTATCCATTAATGTAATACAATTTTATAGTTGAAATAATCCATCGGAACGCTCATAAAAAGGTTTCCGAGTTAACGTATTCGCACACGTACGATTCATCGGTTATTTAAGTCCATTTAATTCACTAGCTTGGATGAGCTTCATTATATGATTTGTTTAAAAACAAAGAATTAAAGAATCTACCTTTTTTTAATTACTCGTTTAAATTCTATTACATCGCGTCAATGTGATTTTAAAACAGACGCGTTTGTTTCATAATTTTCAATGCTATAAAGATTGAAGATTTGATTATTACCTCCCACACAACCGTGGATATGTTTGGGCATGTAACGTAGGTAAAACTACGCGCTCAAAAGGGACAAATGCATTTTCTTTTTTCTCATCTTATACGGAAGTATACGTATCTTACAATTATATATTAACTATTCACGCGAGAATGTAACAATTTCGTACAGAATATACTCGCATAATAACTTCTTCGTGTAAAGTTACTATTTCTCAACCACTGACCTAACAATTTCATCGCATGTTCGAATTTCCAAGAAGAACTGTCATCCCATACTTAATTATTATTATCGTCCCAAATAGTTCTACGAAAATATAACTTAAACAACTTTAATGAATAACATATTTACCATGCCCTAACAAATTTAGTTAATCCTTAAATAATATTTGTTGTGATTCTAACATCCATTTAATTTCATTGTTATTTTTGAATTAATTAGACCAAAACAGGAATAGATATTACATTCAATAATATAAATTCATACATTGACCAGAATTTAATAAAATGATTTCTCTCGTGTTTATAATGATTGATCATTGTATTATTTAAGGATTAATAAACATTCATTCTCTTATTCACATGCAACAAATTCATATACATGTACATTTGAAATTTTCTCATTTTCAACGATAGTATCTAATAAGCAGTAGACAATAAAATAATTTGCAATGGTATCAAAAGCGCAATACCGTTTAAAAAAAACAAATTAGAGTAACCAGAAGTTCAAAGAGTGTTTGGCGCATATTTTTCGATATTATAAAATTTAGAAGCATTTCATTTGACAGGTGTGTTTGTGTTAATGAAACAATGAAAATTTGTTGTTTAGCTTAATTCAATGATAATTCATTCTCCTTTTTTTTATTGACTTATTCATTATTCATTTAAAAATATCTTTTCCTCATCGGTTAACATGTTATTTAAATAGTGAAGTAAAGTAATTGCTACAATTCATGGAATGACAGTGATAAAAAAATTTCAATTGTTGTGTGTGTGTTCAATCTGGCGATACTTTACAACTTCCTCTAAGTTTCAAAAGGTTCCAAATATTCTAACACATTCAAACTTAACAATGTTTCTTGTAGGGATGTTGCACATTAAATAACAGAAGATGCAAGGGATGGTTAGTTAACGCAGAAAATATCTTATACGTATACGTCTGGATGCTAATTTTTTTCATAAGAAGCACCAGATTCAACACAACACACAAACATGCGTGTCCTAGTGTTGCAAAATTGCATTATTAACTGAAGTAGTAACGTTAATTAACATTTTTGGGGATACTGTTGTCGATACTTCCATAATACCAGTTGTTAGAGTACTAATAGTAGTGTTAGACATTAAAGTAGATGTTAAAAGAGTTGTCAAAACGCTAACAGTAGTTTTTACTTTTGGTGTAACATTTTCTATTGTAGGTAAAGTGGAAGACACAGTATTTATCAAAGTACTTGTTGTTATATTATTCAAAGGTGTTGTTGTGTGTTCTATTACCTTGTGACACACATCTTTAGCTTGTACTGGTAATCCGAAGCATGTCTCCATCATGTATGCCAATAATGAACCAACTGTTAGACCCATAGTGTATGATAAAGTCATGATATTCCCTAAGAAAACAAGAGTGTCATAAATTTACGCATAGATTAAAGTTAATTATGAAAATACCTGCTAATTCACGATGTCCTTCTGGAACTTTAGTAGGTGCTTGCATCATTGGTACCGAACCCACAATACCATTTGTTACACCAAGTAAACAAGAAAACAGTAATGGATACTCTATACCACTGAGGATTGGTGCAACTCTTGGTAATGCGCATAATAAGAATAAAGGTATCAATATAACTCGGCCACATGAAAAATACAATAACTGTGTACGTTTCCACTCATAGGGTATCAATGCAAGGAGCTAAAATATTAAATGTTCAATAAATACTTTTTAATTTAAACTAAATCATAATACTTTTTTATGATAAGGAATAATCTGTAGTACCTTGCCTAATACATCAGAAGCGTTAAATGCAGTCATTAGGATTACTGGCATCCATGATTCAAGTTTACAAGAAATTATTTCTGACATGATACCAGGATAGAGACAAAGCGTGACAAAATATGCAACGCCGATACTCGCCATGTATGGCAATATGATCTTAGCCACTTCAATTCTTGCAAGTAAACCTCCTGAAAACAATGCATATGTTATTGAAAGTTCTATTTTACATGAAGAATTGCCAAACTGACATACTTTTAATTTCGGGCCATGGTTTACTGGTTTGACTTCCATAAGTTCCCCTCATAATAACAACATCCTCAACTTTATAAGTAGGACCAGCACTACCAGGAGGATTTCCAGATGGTGCACTAGGTTCATACACAGGATTACTGAACGAAAATGCTGAATATTGATTAATTCCTAAAAATTAAAATAAAGAACTGATATAGATGTGTAATATTAAGAAACATTTTTAACGATCTACGATTACCGTTCAAGTCAGTATTCCCACTTGTGGACTCAGTCCCTAAAGGGCTGGTCTGAAGTTTCAAAACTCCATACTGACCCTTTGCAGAATCTCCAACTTGCTCCAAGGGGTCCATCTATTAAAAAATAGTATTTAATGAAGACAAATCATCACTATTATTTTTAAAATAAACACGATATATACCAGACCAACATCTTCAGTTGGTTCCAACGTTATTCGGTTCCTTTCCTGACATAGTGTTATATAGAATTGCACAAAGTCAGTCTTGCGAACCACTTGATGTAATACAAAACACATCAAGATCGATGTATTCAATAAAATGAAAAACATAGATGTATTGCTACGTACATCGTCAAACAATAGCTTTGTAATAATGCGATCAGAGGATACCCAAAGACCAGCAATACCTGTATGAAGAAAATATAATTATTATAAAATATCTCGCCAATTACTAATGTCAAACATAACATTATCGTACTCACTTTCTCCCGTCATTACTGCTTGAGTATATCGGCTCGGTAGCATGGACGTGTATCCGTAAAAGCTCGATTGTTGGACTATAATGTATAAACAATTACCAGTGAAATATTGCTAAACAAACGAATATAAAAGTTCAAAAAATAATTTTTTAATAACAATCGTTACCTGTGCATCCGAGTGATACTATTGCGACAGCAACTAAATTAATTTTATAAGAAGTAGTGACAGCAAATAGTTCCCACCAGATCTCGCATATCATAACAAAATTCAAAGTAATAAAAGATACCAGATATCCTGAAATTATTATCGATGTATTGCCTGAATAATATAAAATTGATTCTTCTTTGTTTATCCTTACCGAATGTTATTCTCGTATTTAAGGAAAGTGTTTCCACTAGAATGTTATTCGCAAATACCGCGAAAAATGCCATGATAATATAGACGAGAGACATATCAAAAATCACCGTGGTACCAGGATATCTCGTTTGGAAATAATCCACAGCTATGATAAAGCTGTAAAGAATAAACGTACACGTTGCAGAATTTTAATGTAGAATCATTTACAATAACGATGAACAAACGGTTCTATTCATTAAAAGTTTATGATCCTTCACAATAAAACAGAATATCTTACGCGCTTAAAACATACAGTTTTCTAACATTCATCGCAGTAACAAAAATGATAAAAGTTTATTCTCCAATCCTCTTACACTGTCAGCTAAGAATAACAAAAAAATTTCAAAGAAAATTTCAAGTTTCCTCGACTGAAAGTTTAAATTGACGTTCCGTTGAATGAGCGATCTCAAACTTCCGGTACTGTGCCTAGGCGCACACAGATGGTAATGAAAGTATGAAACAAGGGACGAGCTATTTCCATTTTTTCAAGGTAAAATAATTTTTTTAGTTG